CTCTCTCTCTCTCTCTCTCTCTCTCACACACACACACACACACACACACACACCCACACACACCCACACCCACACACACACCACGTTTGTGTATACAGATATATTTAAGTAGAACCTGCTGAGTCTGTTTTTGTTATTTTGTGTATGGTTTCACTGCTCACCATTCTGCACTGGACAGCCAATAAAGGGGCTTATCTCTGGGAGGGGCTAATTCTCCTTCTCCTATCAGTCAATAGTTGCTTTTAGTTCTTTGTCTAGGTGTTGGACCCCTCAAGCTTTCCCCTCCACTTTAATGGGTCCATTGATACCACCATTGTTCTGGTCCTGTTTATGCAGCCATTTCTAAGAAAGACTGTTTCACAACAGACTTTCTGATAGTTTGCATCTTACAATCTTTCCATTCCTTCTCTCAAAATGTTCCCTGAGTCATAGATGCAGGAGCTGTGATGTCTGTTGGGGCTAGGATCTCCATGATCTGTTGATCTCTACATTATATCCAGTTGTAGTCTCCTGTGGTCTCCTCCATTTGCTGTAAGAGAAGCTTTTGATCAGGGGAGTAATGAGGAGGAGGCTCCAGCTGGGGAGGAGAGAGGAAAGTTAATATAGAAGAAGAAAGAGGAGCAAAAACAGCAAGGTTATTTGATAGGACACAAGGAATTATATTATTTTATATTTACTTAAAATCATATATAATACATATAAGTGTATGTGTATATTTACATATATATACATCTATCTATCTATCTATCTATCTATCTATCTATCTATCTATCTATCTATGAATCATCTATCTTAAAGGAAGTTAAACTATGTGGGCTGACAATGCTCTCCAGAAGAACCATAAACTAACAAAAAGAATAAAAAGTCCAGTACCGGACACAAGAAACCTTTCAAAGTGTTGGTCATTGTAGTCCAAGCAGCTCCCAGAACAATATGGATAATTGGCTTAGCCCTTTGTTGCCTAGGAGGGTTGATGATGGATCCCTGTTGCTGAAGACACCACACACTTAGGACACAGGACTCTGAAACTCCAGCTGGATCTGACCTGACAGCGTCTTTCCTGTGGTCTGGCTTCCATGGCTCCAGAAGATACTCTGCAAGCTGCCAAGGGAGGGAAGCTGTTGGACAGTCCTCCCAGCTCGAACACCTAAGAACCATGACAGTTACCAGCATGGCAAGGTGTGCAAAGGGTGCAGTCAGAGGCACCCGTGTGTCAGGGACAACCAGCAGCTGCCTAACTGGACCTAAGGCCACTCAACAGGAGGGACGTCATGCCTGGTGCTGGAAACCGAGCCAGCTTCCAGGGCTAGTCAGGTCACGGACCTTAGAAAAGCATCTACTGTCACATGATGCTAGACTAGCACAATTCCTTACTGCATCCTAAACCTGACGCTCACACCCGCAGTAAGTGTGGTCCCGCTCATTTGTTTCAATGCTCTCTGGCCTCCACTTTTGTTTGATTAAGTCCTTCTTATCTTTTTAGTATGACTCAGATGTCAGTGTCTCTCAGGAGGTGTCACTGAGATTTCCACTAGGGGTGAGGTGTTGCTGGGGGTTGCCATGGTAACTAGCACACGCTATCATCACACACGACACTAGCTGATAGCTTGGTGGAGACGAAAGCTAAGATGTGTGTACCTTGGAATCCTTTTTTCCCAATTGTTTTGATTTTATTTCTTTTTATTTTATGTGTATGTGTGTTTTGCCTGTGTGTATGTCTGTGTGCCACACGAATGCCACAGAGGCCATTAGATCCCCTGGAACTGGAATTACAGATGTTTGTGAGTCACCATGTGAGTGCTGGGAGTCAAACCCTGTTTCTCTAGAAGAACAGCCAGGATTCTTAACCACTGAGCCATCACAAAGCTCCCACTGGGATTTTTTTTCAAGACAGGGTTTCTCTGTGTAGTTTTGGTGCCAGTCCTGGATCTCGCTCTGTAGAGCAGGCTGGCCTTGAACTCACAGAGATCCTGGCTTTGCCTCCCAAGTGCTGGGATTACAGGCATGTGCCACCACCACCTGGCTCCCCATTGGGATTCTTAATGACTCCTTCTGCCTGGCTTTCATTAGGTGCTCATACCTTATAGAACGAAAGAATCAAAACATTGACAACTTGAAACATCAGAGGCAGAAAAAACCAGATTCCTTCAAGTAGGAAAATCTTAGGAGGAAAGTTCTATGTCATGAAAGCCAGCCAAGTGAACAAACAACCACAAAACCCAAACAAAAATAACATCACTCCTACACACAGAAGAGTCTTGGTACCTTGGAAGTGGATCATTTAGGATACAGGATTTTTGGAATTTGAGAAGCTTCAGAAAAAACAAATGTCAGCAAAACCCAGTTATGAAGAAAGAAGGTGAGGAGGTGTAGTGGGGAGGGGCTGGGCTGGGATCCAGAGAAATGAATTCTAGCTTTGGCCCGGCTACTCTCACTCCCTGCGTGGGTGGCCTGGGAGAATCACTACATCTTCCTCCACTTCACTCATTTGCAAAATGAAGAGGTGGGGCCAGGCTAGATCCTGCTGCAAGATCTTGTCCCACATTAAAGGTTTATGATTATACAATACCTCAGCAAAGAACTGCGGGAGAAAGTCTGGCGTGTGCTAGACTTTCTCTGTTTTCTTAATAATTAAAAAATTGATTAAAATATAGTCACACCCCCTCTCCTTTCCCCTGTCCGAGCCCTCCTACCCTCCCGCTTTCTCTCACACTCGCAGTCTTTTTCTGATTGTTATTGTTACATATGTTCATAAACACACGGACCTATGAGTGCCACCTGCCGAGTCCCTGGTGTTGCTTGTGTGTTTATGATTTCAGGGCTGACCAGGTTGCTGTCATGTGACCAGTTAAGGGGTCCATCCCCTAGTCAAAGAGCTATAAATTCTTGAAAAGTGCATTTCTACTGCTGCTTGAGGAGTCGTCTGACTTTCCTCCTGTCAAGATGAAAGTTTCTCCCACGTGGGATTGTAAGGTGCAGTTTTTTCTGTGTTAGAGTAAAATAGAATAATATCTTTTTATACTTTGGATGTGAGCCTGGCCTTCAATGGCTGAGCCATCTCTCTAGCCCTGAATAGTATCTTAAAAAAAAAATAAGATTCTTAGGTTTTCATGAAAATGAAAGAAGACAATCTTGTACAAAGGTGATAATAAAATAGAAACAACTGAACTGATTTTAGCATTTCAAGTGCAAACATTTAGACATGTAAACTTATTGTATGGGGCTTACTCACCTTGAATGTGGCATTTACTAGTTTTAAAATAGAATTTGCTTGTGCAAAATGACTTATGCAGGAACCTCACAGTGTTTTTGTGAGTGTTACAGTCCACATGTCTGAGATTTCCTTAAATTCGTGGTCTTACAACATGGGAAGGTGCCAGTTGGCTGTACTCTAAGTCTTCTCTCAAGTTGCCCCAGACACACCAGCTTTACAGTGTTTTTAGGTCACTTGGGACAAATCACAGAACTACTGATGTGATTTTCCATTTGATAACTGGTTGATTTCTTAATTGGTGGCTGCTTGCCACTTGTCTAGTTGCTGTGACAAAATACTCCAGGCCAACAACTTAAGGAAGGATGTGTTTCCTTTGTTTTCCAGTTGCAGGAGGTACAGCCCCTCAGGACAGGGACGGACATCAGCAGGGGTGGTGTGGTGGTGGGCCTGGTCACACTGTGAATCTGTAGTCAGGGAACAGCGTGACTGATGATTATGCCCAACTTGCTTTCCCGTTTTCACTCAGTCTGGGACCCGGGTCCCTAGAATAATGCCTCCCATAGTTAGGGTAGTCCTCTACTTTAACTAATCTAGAAACTACCTCACAAGCATGCTCAGAGATTTGCTTCAATGTGATTCTGAATTACAATAGTTCACAGCGAGGATGACCCACCACACCACTACAACACTTTCCATGTATATGCAGACCTTACATTTGATACCTTTGGGCTGTATCAGACAATTGTGCTGTAGAGACCACACACAACAAGGACTGCTACCTTTCTTCACAGCAAAGGAGAATTTTCTGATAAAGGAGCCAGCTGTCAGGTAAACAGGCAGATGTGGACTACAAGTGCTGAGGCCACCCTGCAGAAGAAGGTTCTCTGTGGAAGGGAAGGCTGATAGGAACCACACTGCCTGTCAAGTGTGCATCCATTTATAGTTTCCAACCAAACCTGGATCCAAGCCTCACATTGCAATACAGCACTGATATACTTTGTAATTAGCCTTATTAAAAGTTGAGTGAATCTGTGTAGAGTCATTTAGGCTAAATGTATCTCAGCATGCTGTAACTAATGAATGGCAGAGCGAACATTTCCTTACACTTCCTAGATGAAGTGTTGGAAAGTTTGCAGGGATCTGAGTTTAGGTTTCTCTATTTGGTGAGGAAATAGTTCATCATTTCACACTCATTCACACACATGTTGAATTGTGGTTGTGATGAACTCAGAATTGTCAGGGTTAAATATGCTGCTAATGGAAGCCTGACCTCTTGTTTCCAAAGTCTCTCACGTCTACTTCCTAAGCCTGGAGTGAGAAGTCTCTTCTATGTTTCCCTGTGGTGGGCAGACTGCTCAAAGCCCTCCACAGACACACACACACCAGGAGAGGCTGCTGATTTCTATGCACTTCACACTAGTCAGCCTTTATGCAGGGCTAATGAGGTTATGATCATACCTGAGGGGAGGCATAGGATTAGTGGCTTTAAAAAAGCATAAGTGCCCATCATAAGTTTTGGGTGCCTTGTGATTGATTTGTAATAGGCACACCAGCCTGAATGTACCTGCCATACTCATTGGGGGCATAAGCAGGAGGAGGTCAGGGAGCGTGGCTGGCGTCATCAGTGTAGTGTGTGTGTGTGTGTGTGTGTGTGTGTGTGTGTGTGTGTGTGGCTGTGGCTGGCAGTTGCCAGTACAGGAGGTGGGGAGGTAAAGGGGTGTAGCTGGTGGACACCAGTGGACTCAGCTTTGGCTTTCTTTTGCTAATAAATGTGCTTTTCAGATTCTCAGGAATATTATCATCTGTTTGAGTTCATTCTAGATACAGACTCATAAAGAGAATTCTGAACACTGATCTGAAGACCAGGAATCTACTTTTTGATTTTATTCTTGTCTTTGAGTTTGGAATTTCTGTTTAGGTCCAAGATGAAAATTTAAATCCTGCCCATGTACTTGGCTCTGACACATTTATGGGTCCTGGCTAAGGAAGACTTTGACCTTGAGTACTAAAACTGTCTCTCTGACCCCGGCATATGCATCCTGCCCAAGATACAAATTCGTTTGCTCTGTTTGTATGAATATAGGTTAACTTTCCTTTCTGTATATCTGTATCTGTATTTTCTTTTCTGTTCTTAGAAAGACACTTGTCACATTGGATTAACTCCCCTATGACCCCATTTTAACTAATGAAAACAGCAGAGACCTTACTTCCAAACAACATTAAATTCATAGATGTTAAGAATTAGGAATTTGCCAGGTAGTGGTGGCGCATGCCTTTAATCTCAGCACTCGGGAGGCAGAGGCAGGCGGATCTCTGTGAGTTCGAGGCCAGCCTGGTCTACAGAGCGAGATCCAGGAAAGGCACAAAGCCACACAGAGAAACCCTGTCTCGAGAAACCAAAAAAAAAAAAAGATTTAGGAATTCAGAATATCTTTTTCTGAGGACAAATTTATACACTTAATAAATATTAAATAGAACAACACAAACTGTTATGATTACTTTTTGATATACAAATAATTATTTTGTCTGATTCAACCAAAATAGTAATTAAAATATGTGATTATAAAGCAAATTGGGTTTTCCTGATGCTGGCAGTTGCTCTGGTCACCTGCTGAGGAAGTGGCACCGTGGCCGGGCCCCTGATGCTGCTCAGCGGCTAAGCAGAATGTGAGGATACTGTGGTGAACAGCACACACAGAATACAACTTGTGCCTCAAGACATTTGCCCAGAGCTTTCTTCGTGTCTGCTTCCCTTTTGGAAGTTACCAAAAGTTTCTCCTTGCCTCCTGCCCAAGATCATTGCTTCCCTGAAGCAGCGTCCTTACTGCTGTTGGCAGGATGCAGCTGGGAACACAGTTTGCTTCGGAAATTGAGTTTTGTGCTTGGTTCTAGGCCCATGATGGATGCCCTGAGACTGGCAAATTCGGCTTTTGCTGTTGACTTGTTCAAACAGCTATGTGAAAAGGAGCCAGCGGGAAACATCCTCTTCTCTCCATTATGTCTCTCCACCTCCCTGTCACTCGCTCAAGTGGGTGCCAAAGGTGACACAGCAAATGAAATTGGACAGGTAAGCTGCCCATGCTTTCTTTTGAAGGGTTTTGAAGGGGGATAGTTACTGGAATTCATAGCATGGGCCTAGGATAAAAATGGTGCAGCTGGAACTATTCAGGACTGAGAGCTACGCCATCCCCAGGGCTCTTTTAATTTATCCTGAATGTGAACACTCGTTTTGCGTAGCATGTTTTATATTTAGAATAGGTACCAGGTTAGGATGAAGAGTGTGGGGATCTGACAGGTGTTCCATTCCTCAGTGGCTGTCAGCAGGACACATGACATCCCTCACCTGACATATATGAAGATCAGTCAATGACTGATTAATACTCCATTGCACATACGCTTAGTAAATGAGGGAATGTTATCCCCTGCCCCCTGACCTACATTCAGAGAACAAGCACTGCTCCTCAACACGCAATTCATTTAGAATATCAAACTGAACATTAAGATGCAATCTCAATTGCATTCTACCCTGGAGTATTTCCAATCCCAGAAGTAACATTTTAAATAATCTATCTTCAAACTGGAATAGATAAAATAAATAGCATGCACATATGTTTCAGAACCCTGGGGGCTTGGTTATCTGAGAGGCATGGATGAAAGCAACTTTTCCCATGCGAACATATACATATGTGTATAGATGTTTCAGAATTTCTTTGGGGCTGTGCTTGATTAGCTTTGTAAAGTTCTTGGACCTTCAAATGAGCTGATTTCCTCTCAAGACCTCACATGCTCTTAGACAGTAGGTGTACTTCCAAGTCCATTCTATTATTTTCCTTATGCAGATTGATGTAAGGTTAAAAAAAAAAACCCTTTCTTTTCACAAACTCATCGGTATGTAAAATCACCATTATCCATAAAATGGTAACTCATAAATGTTGTCTAGGTCAGGATGAGAAACTGCGGGAGGCCGGAGCGGCTGCTTCACTCCTGAGGAGAGGAGCTGGGTTTTCCACTTGAACTCGTCTCCACAGGCTGTAAACCAGATCCCACTCCTCACTTCTCATCTCTTTTTCCAGAAGGGCTGCAGGGGCTGCGGTGGTGGAGGGTCCATCCCTCACCCACAGGAAAGATATTTCAGTGCATGCGACATGTTTTTACCAGCACATCTGGTCTTTTTAAATATTCATTTTTTCTTAATTCTTGAGAATTTCAATATATGTGTGCAATGAAACATGGTCATATTCGGCCCCATTTACCTTTCTAACTCCCTTCAAACCCCCTTCAACGTGGCCTTTTCCAAGCTTCATGTCTTTTTTTTCCCCTAATAATCTACTTAGTTCAATCAGTGCTGCCTATATGTGTGCAGTGAGAGGCACCCACTGAGGCATGGGGAGTATGCCACTGGCTGTGTGTTCTCTCACGTCTGGGCAGCAGGCAAGGCTGGGATGCAGAACTGATAAAAGTTCTGAAATAAAAGACTGGGTGCTCAGTGCCAAGTGGGGTGTCTTCCTTGACCCCTCTTCCCCTCACAACACAAAGGCTCAGGGAATGTGGAAATGGAGGCAGAAAGAATGTAACACCTGGGGGATGTGGAGGAGGTCTGGGAAATGCAAACTTCTGGACTTGACATGGTCAGAGCACTCGGGAACTCCCAGCAGCCGTGGTCCCCTGCACAAGACCCGAAAAAGACTGATCCAGACCACGTCCTGGTGTAGGCCGGAGGTGCTCTTCATGTCTTGTCTCTTACCCAGGAGCTGCTGATGCCTGGATGTTTTTTTCTTTCTTTTTTCCTTTTTTTTTCAGGTCCTCACACTTGCAGGACAAGCACTTTATCTCCTCAGTCCCCGGAACAATGCTTATTTTAGTTTTTGGATAATGGACTGTTTGTTTTTCTTTTAACAGGTCCTTCATTTTGAGAATGTCAAAGATGTACCATTTGGGTTTCAAACAGTCACTTCTGATGTTAATAAGCTCAGTTCATTTTACTCTCTGAAACTAATCAAGCGACTCTACATAGACAAATCTCTGGACCCTTCTATGGTAAGTTGTTTGTAAGACCTTGCTTGTGCTCTGTCCCAGAAGGGGCGTTCACCCTGAGGCCCATGGCTTGTTCCAGGGCAGTTCCTTTCATATTATCAAAGGAAGCGGCTCCACTGCAGATGTTGGATGTTGGGGGATGAAACAGAGTCACATCTGGTTCAGAATACACAGAAGTCTGTCTCCTTTCTCTCCGTACCTTAACAAATCCTCCCCCACCCTCACTTCCTTTGGAGAGAAGGGATAATGGAAGGGCCCGCTATCTGGAAAATGGATCTCCATAAGGGACTCAGAATGACTTGCAACAAACTCTCTCCTTAAGCAGTGGGACATGTGGCCTGAGGTTGTCTTAAACTCCACAATTCATTCTTTTTAATGGTCCAGATATCTTTAGAATCAGTAAGAAAGAAAATAACCACCACAAATGACCAGTTTTCATCAGATGTGAGTCAGCGTTGTTTTCCTAGACTAGTCAGGAGGACATTTGTTCAAAGCTGCTGTAGCCATTTGAACCAAGTCATTTCTTGAAGCAGTCGCATGAAGAGCACCGTGGTCCCCTCCTGTTAGACCCAGAGTGTGGCATAATATTTTTCAGATCTCTGTTTTAACACATAGCCAACATTCTTGGTTCCAGAACATTCCTTTGTTTGGTAATGTAGAGCTGACTCGGCTCCTGTCTCTGTGGTCACAATTTCAAGCTCTAGGTTGCCAAGCCAAATGTCCCACCATGGCGTGACAGTGTTGTGCATTCTGTTTTTGTGAGAGATCTTTGTGAACTAAGTTAGTAGCTATTGTTGTGACTTTACCCTGTGACTTGAAGACAAATGCACAACTATTTTTGTTCCAGCTGTCACCTGGGAAATTAAAGGAAATTGAGATGTGAGTTTCTGCTGGGCATGGAAACGTTGAGAGATCCCTAAGTGGTGCTTAAAGATTTCTGTCACGGCAGTGGCAGTGCAGGCTTTCACTGGTAGTGTCTCTGAAGGTCTAAGGTATTCAAGGGCAGAGTGACAGGACATTCAAGTCTGTTAGCTGGGTTGGACTTCCGTTCCACAGTTAGAACTGTTTTTACCAAACTTTTCATTTCCCTTTTTCTCTCCCCCTTTCCCTTCCCTTCTCTTTCTGTTTTCCCTCACTTCTTTTACTATGTAGCACCTACAAAGTTACTAGTTTGTAGTTTGTACAGAACAAACAGCTGTGCCCCGGAAGCATCACCTGAACTTGAACCACTCAAGCGTCTCTTGAAAGCCTGAGTTCTGATCTCTTGCATTGAGATCAGTGTGGGTCGGCTTTGCATTTTAAACATGAGTTAGATACACTGCTATGTTCTTTACAGCCCTAGGTTTCACATTTCACTGTGCAGATGAAACTCCTGGAAATCTTGCTAAAATGCAGTCAGTGTGTCTAGGGGCCTGAGAGTTCATTCTAACAAGATCTTAGGTGATACTTGACTCCTGATCATTGGACCATATTTTGAGTGTCAGGACTCTAAAGAATATTCATTTATTTTAGTGATGATAAGGGTTTTCTGCTCACTGTTTTTCATTTCTGTTTCATTTTTTTTCTGTTTCATTTTTTTTTCTTTTTCGAGACAGAGTTTCTCTGTATAGTTTTGGTGCCTGTCCTGGATCTCACTCTATAGACCAGGCTGGCCTTGAACTCACAGAGATCCACCTGGCTATGCCTCCCGAGTGCTGGGATTAAAGGTGTACACCACTGCCACCAGGCCTATTTCTATATTTTGACACATATGTATGTATAGTTGTTGTGTTCATTATTTGTTCTTGTTGCTGTGATAACATACCTTCTAGAAACAACTTAATGGAAGGAAGACTTGCTTAGGCTCTAAGTTTCAGAAGTCCATGGCTGCCTGTTCCCATTCAGTTGGGCAGATAGCTCGTCAGTAGGAGTGTGGAGCAGAAGAGAGCTGTTCACATCACAAAGGACCAGGAAGTAGAGGTGACAGGAAGGGGCAGTGATGTGTTATCTCCAAGGACTCTAGTGACCTTTGTCCTCCAATCTGGTCCTATTTCCCAAAGTTCATAGAAAGTCTCAAAATAGTGCCACAAACTGAGAACTAAGAGTTTAAACCATAAGCATCTGAGACATATTTTAGATTAAAACCACAACTATATACCTATAATGTATGTAATAATATAAATAAATATTTTTGAAATAATTGGGATTTATACTATAATTATATGTTTTTAATATAGTGTTTCTTTTGTTTTTGGCAGAGCTGAAACCAATCGATAATTTTAACAATTGACATGTCTTATAATTGAAATAAAACACCCAATACAAAGAAAATGCTTATTTCTACACAAGACTTTGTATAGTGTGACCCACTTTTGAAAATGTATGCATTGCAATAGGAACCCATTTCTTAGCGCCATGTAATACTGCATGAGTTCCATTTCAGATGCTCAGAGCTTTGTGATTTTGTGAATTGGATGTTTTTCAGGAATTTATCAGTTCTACAAAAAGACCATATGCAAAAGAATTGGAAACTGTCGACTTCAAAGAGAAACTGGAAGAAACGAAAGGTCAAATTAACAGCTCTCTCAAGGAACTCACAGATGGCAAGTGCCTTTAATGTCCTTCTGTAAAGAGTAGCTGCCTCCCTGCTTAAGAATCCTTGCTCCAAGCCTAAAAATACTGAACATCTGGAAGCTTCCTCCAGTATTTTTAGTACACAAGCTAAATTCTTTGCCCATCAAGCCATGTCAACAACTTAAGTTTCTGGGCATTTCTTGTATCAACTCATTACTTGGCCAATTGTGTGCTTTGTTTTAGCTTGCTTCGCCTTGCTCTCTGACAAGCTGCCACACGCCCTAGGAGGGACCCAGCTGTTCCTTTTCTGCTATGGCTTTTGACAAATCACAAAGCCAGGTTTTAAAGTCTGGAAATGGAAAGATGCTCCTTGAATCTACTTCCAACTAAAAATATTTACAGCTTTATCAAAACTGAAAAAAGACAAAGTAAATATAGAACAAAGCCAAACCTAGCAATCATAGTGGAAATTTGTCCCCAGGCTCCCAACCTCTCAGGCTGCTCGGTGCTCAAGTCCACTCCCGCTTCCCACAGAGCCTTCTCAGCCTCTGCCCTTACTTCACCTCCCCCATTAAAAGTCCCCGTGAATTGTCTTTCTTGCCAAGAAAGAATTGGAACTAAGATGATTTGGATTGCAATCAGTGACTAGCTCTTCTTTCCTAGAGATGTGTTTATAGTGTTTGTACAGGGGGAGCCTGTTGGGAAATAGAAAGTAATTATAAAGGACTGGCAGTCACTGATGGCTGTGGAGGGATGTGCTGCTGGGGTGAGGAGATATACTTCTTTTGAGAATAAGCAGAGCCCATCCAGCATGGCATCCCATTAGAATACTTCCTCATGAATGAAGTCCACCTCTAACAACATGGAAAGAACAGGAACTTCAGAGTCATTTAGAACCTAGATTCCAATCCATGTACCACATGTGGATCATCAACATATTTAGATATGGAGCTTCAATGTACTGAATCGTCAAATGTGGCATATGTTACTTAATTAAATTTATATGTGGTTGTTGTGAGGCCTCCAAGTACATCATGTATATATACAATACATGGTAGTTGTAGACGCATATGCATGTGGATATATATACACACATATATACATATGTTACCAAAATAAAATTTCTTTGGTGATGCATGGAAAGAGAAAGCTGATATAAATAGCACCAGGCTTAGCATAATTTTCAACATTATAAGCAAAAAGATGTCTCTGCTCAAAGTTGCTGTTTTAGTTTTGTTTATAAACTTTCTCAGTTTTCTCTCAAAGAACTTTTTATCTTGGCATCTCAATGAGTTTAAGGTTTCTGACTGGAGAAGGTGGGGCTTAGGGAGAATTCTGAATTTGGAGACAGAAGCAAGGTTTCAGCTGAAGCTCTGGCACTGTGGGCACCTGGACTTCTTAGCTCTTCAGGGCTTGATAAAAACATCACATGCCAATAGAGGTGGCAATGGTAGGGCTAGTGCAGGAATGAAATGCAGGCCCATATTAAAGATTCACCAGGTTGGCATCTTAAGGCAGTGATGGAAGAACACTGACCCTGTGCATGGCCCATGAAAACGCACACTGGGCATTATATTGTAACTGGAGTTTTCTCCAGTCCCACTTGGACCCCTGCAGTTCTGCATCCCACTTATAAAATAATCACTCAGAAGCTCATATTAATTAAAATTGCTTGGCCATTAGCTCAGGCTAACTATTGACTAGCTCTTGCATCTTAAACTAACCCATTTCTATTAATCTATAAGTTGCCATGTAGCTTGTGGCTTACCGATACTTTTACATCTCGCTTCCTCTGTGTCTGGCTGGTGACTCCTGACTCAGCCTACCTGTTCCCAGAATTCTCTTCTCTGCTTGTCCCGCCAATACTTCCTGCCTGGCTACTGGCCAATCAGCATTTCATTTATCAGTCAATCAGAGCAACACATTCATAGTATCCCCAGCATTACATGAAAATTAGAGATTAGGTAAATGACAGCTCTTTGCAAAAACACTAGAGGAGTGTTTTTATTAAAGGGGTTTCATGGTTGTGTTCTGTGGGCTGTTGAGGATTTAAGGTCTGGGGTAATTATAGCTGTGATCACATTTGTGGATCTTCCAGCTGACCTTGAGTCCATCAGCAGCCTACAAGGAGTGAACTGGGGAAAGGAGTATAGAATTGTAGGGCAAAGATGTACTTCTCTGCTGAGCACAGTAGGGCTGCCCATTAACCACTCTCAATCTGTTTCCTCAATTGTAAATTGAAAACAGTGAGGTAATATGTTGGAAATGATGAACATGACCAGGTGTAAGACACATGTGTACTCAGCTTTGCTCAGGAGTACAGACTGAGTCAGAAAGGGCTTACTCCCAATCCTAGACCTCTCTGAGTTGTCTGGTCAGGTAGGATGGGAGGACAGAAAAGAGGCCCTAAATTAGACAGTCTTGGCGACCAGTCCTTCCAGGTGTGACACCAATGAGTGATGAATGCCCAGGGAGTGAGCATGCACGCAGCAGCAGGCAATTTAGATGAACAACTGTGATGTGTGGTTTTCTACGATTGTTCGCAGGCCACTTTGAGAACATTTTATCGGAGAACAGTATAAATGACCAGACCAAAATCCTTGTGATTAATGCTGCCTACTTTGTTGGAAAGTGGATGAAGAAATTTCCTGAATCAGAAACAAAAGAATGTCCATTCAGAGTCAACAAGGTATGTGCAGCATGAAGTAGGAAGCAGATTTCAAAATCTTGGCAGCTGAGCAGGGCACAGGGATGCTTCTCAGCATGGACCATGAAGACTTCCAGAAATCAAAGGAGGAAAAGGAAGGGAAGGAAGCAGAGAAACTGGAGGCCTTTGGATTAACAGGAAAGTTAGACCAGTTAGGAACTGCTTTCCTGACCCAGTCACTTCACTTTTGTCTCATTTTCTTACTTACCTGGCGATAAAACCACAGTTTACCATTTATCATCCACCCCTTCCTCATTTCCCCTTTGGTAGGCCCAGCCCAGCCCAGCACCGTCCAGCCCAGCCCAGCCCATTCCCAGCCCTTGCCCTTCCCATCCAGCTGAGCTCCATCCCCACCCCTCCCCAGCCCAAAGCACATGTAATATGCTTTGAGGCACTGGTTGACTATGAAGAAAAAAGCACAGCTTTTCTCATCTACATTACTAGGAGTCATTATAGAAAGAATTAGAAGCCCGTTTTTCTGGGTGGTCTCATTTATACTATTTAGGTGGATGTTTAAAAACTAATATCTGTAAGTAAAGGTCCCTTTTTTATAAATTAAACCAAAGAACCAAGACTGGAAAAATCATGAAAGAGCCTGGGGAAACTATATGATTTGGTCTTGTTTTTGGGATGTGATTTGTGTGAATACTTGGGCCAGCAAGAAGTCTCAGCAGGTAAAGGAACTTATTTCCAACCCTCATGGCTTGTGCTCAGCCCCCAAAACTTGCTACATGGTAGAAAAAGAGACATGATTCTTGCCAGTTGTTCTGACTTGCACACATGTACGTGCACCATAGTGCTTGCACATGTTCGAATACACACACACACACACACACACACACACACACACACACACACACACACACGAATAAATGTAATAATAATAAAAAGCTCAGGCCTGAAACAATGCACACTTCAGCTGAAACACTCAAGGTATCTTGCTTTGTAGATGTTATGCAACACTTCTTAGTGTTCAGTTTCTCTTGTATTGCCTGGTATCAGCCACTTGTTTTCACCAAGTAGCATCTTTAAAAATAAATTTATTTTGACCATATTCTTTCCACTCTTCCGATCCTCTCAGAGCCTTCCCATCTCCCTCCCCACCCAATCTCATGATGTTCTCACTCTCTTTCCAAACAAACAAACAACCGAGAAACAACCACAGTCAAGAGAGATAATCAAAATGAAAAAGAAAATAAGACAAGAAATAACAAACAGAAGGCACACCGCTCTTGGGCATAGGACGTGCTCCAGAGTGTGGTTCATATTGGAGAAAACAGATGTTCTCTTTCCCAGCAGGTATCAATTGCTAGTAGCTTTTTGGTTGGGGTGGCACTTTGTGCTCACTCCCCCTTCTCAGCGCAGGGCTCTCATGGAGCTTGAACCTGTGCAGGTCTCGTACATGCCATCACAGCCTCTGTAAGTTCCTATGCACACTGGTCCTGTTGTGTCTGGAAGAGGCTGTTTCCTTGGAATTGCCCACCACCTCTGGGTTTTTCCGCCTCTTCTATGTAGATCTTTTCTCTGTTCTCACACTGATCTATGTGTACAACAATGGCATCAGGAGCCATTTTATTGCTAGCTCCTTTAGCAGAATAATAGTGGTAGGTTTTTCCCCTGGACCCATGACCTATCTAGATAGGTCTCAGGGTTCTTAATTCTAGAACCTAGGAGAAAATCCCTTTCAGATACTAACTTGGCCTGGGTTAGCTAGAATGTCTTCCATAATTCCCCCAGTCCTCCCATGGAGTTTATGTTCATACCCCACTCACCCCAAATGTACCTAAGACCAATTTGCTTTCCTACCTCTTCCATTAGTGCCTGGACTTCATAAGGTTAGGGACCATGCCTTTCTCACCTCAGTGTCTTAAAGCTAAGTGCCCTGCAAACTTTTGGGTGAATAATCAATCAATTGTCTTTCTTTCTTTCTTTCTTTCTTTCTTTCTTTCTTTCTTTCTTTCTTTCTTTCTTTCTTTCTTTCTTTCTTTCTTTCTTTCTTTCTCTCTTTCT